TTACACAAAATCTTCTAAGTAACATTTCCTCACACGCCAGAGACTTCTAGGAGAAATCTCATTTTCATCATTCCTCACTCAACAGAAGGCTTTCAAACCATACAGCTCCATGAGTTTTATATGATTTTTGTCCTTGTTTTTATTGGCCACGATGATCAAAAATTGATAACACTGTTAAGAACTGCCACAATTTGTGATCATTACAGTTCTCCCCAGCTGTCAAACCAGCACTTATCTCTGGCCCAATTAGCTTTTGAGAATAAGCTGGGATTTGGAGTGATTCATCCCGAATCCTAAAGAGTCTGGCACGCAGCGGTGACATTGGCCGATCGTTCTGTTCCTTATAGGCATCTGGAAATATTTTATACAATCAGAGCCAAAGTTGACTCTCTTTCACAATGCTGAGTATAATTCTTGAACCGCAGAGAACCAAGCCAAGGAACTGCATTTCTCTGTGTCTTGTCTCCCCCTTCTTAAAGGGTTCACAAAGTTTTTCTCCAAATTTAACCATGGGAAATTATTGCTAGGAAGATTTGCCCTTAAGTATTGTTGAGGGATTCAGATCCCTCAATAGCCTCTCCCTCATCAGCAATTCCTTAGTTAAAGTTCTGTCTGAATGAAAGCAGAAAACTATTAAATTTAATGAAAAAAAAAAAAAAAAAAAAAAGGTCTGACTAGGGGAATAACGGTATTTAACAGCTAGGGGAATCAGCCCATTGTGTCAGTTTTATTCAGGGAAACTACATTTGCCCTAATAAATAACTTCACAGCTTGGCTGTGATACACTTAAAATATTGCACAATTTGTGGATTCTCAGATTGCTGCTTCCAAGTAAAAAATCTAATGATGTCAACAGGTTCTGCGTGAACCATTCTGCCCTCCAGCCTGAATCTACTTGCAGGATGAGCAACTATCAACAGCTACTGCGGTCTGTGCTACCTTGTGCAGAGGGCTACACCCCCACTCAATGCTTCCAATTACTGAGAGAGAAGGGAATCTGCTAACCATAATCCATGTGCACGTAAAATAATTTACTGAAAGGTCTTCTCTGTTATCCATTATTTTTGAGAAGCGTAAAAAGCACACATAAGATGAATTTGGCACTGGAGAGAACAGATACAATTATGTGCTGGCTTTGCGTACATACACACCTATAAACATAGGTGTTAGAAATAAGGCATAAATTCAATCATGATATCCTTCATGAATACACATAGAAACATATCTCTTTACTTTTATTTTGAAGAAAAAAGCAAAGCTTTTTTTGATCATTATCTAACAGTCAAGACTAGAAAAGTCATCAGTTTCAGATGCAAACGTTCATCTTTGCAGAAAATTATCCAGTAAAAGGAATAAGTTTGGAAACTAATTGCACTGGACTCTTATAAACCAACAAAGCATGAGTATTTGAGGCCAAATTTCTCTCTATCCAAAACCATCTTCAGAACCAATAGCCATGAAAGTGCATTCTAAAGACATCAAAAGTTCGTAACTTAGAGTTTTGAGGTAAGAAACTTCATTGAATATTATCTGGTCTGGAGATGACCTGAAATATAGATCAGAGTGAAACTGATTTGCCTTTCTCCAAAGACACAAATTCTGTTCAAGACAGCTTGTTGCAAAACTAAAACTCTATGCTCTATGGAAACAGACTATTTTTCTTGTATTTGAGCAAATCTTTCAGAAAGAATCTCAAAGTAATTAAAACATACACACGCATACGCCCCCCCAGAATTCTGTATTTTTAAGAAATTTTATCTTACCCTTCCACGCTGGATTATTTTCGGTCGTTTCTGTGCTCTATTAATAAAAACTGGCTGTGGAGCTTTGGCATTTGGCCCAGATATTTGCATCTCAGGATAGATATTATCCAAATACCACTTAAATGACTTGCAGTTCAATCTTTTTCTCAATTCTACACGGTCGGTAATATTTCCATAGTTCCTCATCCTTAGCTCGGGTCTCAAAGCAAAATACTGCTCCTGCATTTAAGAGAACAGGTTGGGAACATGGGGAGAAGAAATTAAGATTATTGATTTCCAACTTTTTCCCTGTTTGCAGAATTCCCAAAGTTTCACTGCATTTTGCTAATGCTTTCACCCATTAAGTTTGAAAGCGGCATTAGGAAATTCCAGTGTTTAGATTGCCACAGGACGTGAGATTTATCTTGCCTCACTCTGAGCTAATCTTTCTAGACTGCTTTTTTTGATGAAAAGACTTCTCAGGCATGAATCTGCTGACCTTTTTTAGGTGTCAACTTGAGGAGGAAACAAATCAGCCCTACACTCCATTGGCAATAAAGGCATCCTAGAGTCATTAAGTCACAAACAGATGTGTATATAGTCATCATCCTCATCCAGCAAAGGTTTAATTAGTTTGACTGTCCAATTGATTGTTTTCATTGTTAGGGGGTTCAAGTGTATTTTGTCTTCCACAGTGTCCAGCTTTCCAACTATACAAGTTACCAGGGCAAAAAAATTCCCGATCAGAATAGACCCATAAATGGGACTATCTTGTGAAGTTCAGTGGGACCATGCATTTATTCACATGAAGAATCAGAACTGTCACCTGGGCTTTCTGTGAAACCCAGTTTTTTTCCATTCACCTGCATAATCTCCAGAAAGGCTCCCATAATGTTATTTTTTTCATGTTCTAATTTATGATTACACCCAGAATTGTACCTGGTTAGGCAAGCACGGATTAAGATTCCAGCTCAATGTTACGTGCTGTTCAACTCTAATGCAGAGCCAACGGGGACAAACAGGAATTCATGAGAGTACAATGTGACATGAATGCTATTACCAAAACTAGAAGAAAAATCCCCTTGTAGTGTCTTTAATTCCTGCTAGATTTACAGACCTCATAGAAAAAGCATTGTATTTGCGTATTAACTAGTTTACTAGATATTATTTAGAAATCAGTTTTCAGGTCACCGAGCTACTGTATTTTGTTGGATTAATCTCAAGTAGACATCTGGAATTTACTTAACATTATGTGGCTCTGACAGTTTTCCATTACCTACTGTTGTCTCTGATATTCAGATGACAGTGTCATCTCAAGATAAATTACACATCTGTCCTTATCAAGATCTTTGAGCATTTGGATGCACTTGATGTATCACTGCTATTGTAATAGCATAGGAAGGGGAAGCATTCAGTACATTGGACCGTTGGACAGCTCTGAAGAAGTGTGGAGATAGACTGAACATCCCTGTCAGAAATTGGTCTGCTTCAAAAAAGTAGCTCTGCTATTCCACTTGCCTGTTTCCTGGTTAAAGTTCAAATTTAAGCATCCTACCTTTTCTGCATTATTTATTTCCATTGTATAAGTGAACTTCCTTCTTTTACATTTTGCTTTTGACAATTATGAGAATTTTGCTGTTTCCCTTCCATTATACACTTCTATTTATTAAATATTTATATTTGCTCTTTGTTGCAAAACAGGTCCTTTAAGTCTTAGGTTTGTACTATTCATCATACAGTCACTTTAGTAAAGGATACTGTCCCTAAATATTTACATGACACTTACAAAACCAAAAATATTTCCAGGCTTGCATTCCATACATAAATCTGTCATAATGACAGCCTCTGGCAACTATCAGAGAATTAGATATGAAACAGCTGGAAACATTCAGTCTGTGATAACAGACTGCTAGAATCAGCAGTTTAAGTCCTTGTTGGACAAAGCAGTATTAACTGGAAATTATAACAAAGAATCAATTCCAAGCTTCAGAGAAAGCCATCATTAATCACAAAACAACTATGCCCAGACACCCATAAAAGGAAAAGTGATAGATCAAATCTACTAATGCATTACGGAGATGAAGAATGGAGATAAAAATTAATGACACTTAATAGGTTCTTCAAATGACTGAACATCAAGATAAAGGATGGGGTTTGAAACATAAAACTCTACAGAATATAAAGTTAATAAAATATGTCTTGTATAGAAATTGTAGGGACCACAGGAGCTGGCCACACAGCAAATCCTATGGTCTCACAAGGCAAAATGTCCTCAAGTATCACAGAGATGAGGGCTTCACCAAAACCTGATCTACATTTAAAACCATCAGTACCAAGATCAGAAGACAAGGAAAGAATACGCTTGCCCATGAATCCAGAGGAAGTCAATCCTGATTGATCTTCCAGGGCAAGACAGACTAAGAATCAGACAGCTAATTAAAGCAGAAACCAAAACAATCAATCAACAAAATTCCTGTCTCACCAGCATGGAAGCTACCTGAAGGCATATAGCAGTATACGACTGCCACATAATACTGATTTGGACACAAAGCAATACAGAGCTTACAAGAACTCGTTCATCATCTTTTACTTCATCAAAAAGGCATAAAACTGAATCTCTTGCAGGCAGAAGTAGTAACAAGGAGTAGACTTGAGCACTCAAAAGTCAAATGACAATCCTACAGAATTTAGGAATTCACATCAAAATTAACATTAGGGAATCAGGTTACAGAAGGAAGATCCCATTAGAGGTGCTAACAGAACCCGCTGTGACACAGTCCTTTGACAAACAAGCCAGTTAATAACCTTATTTCATGACCTAGAATTGTCTCTTACCTTATATTCATCCATCCATACATGTGCCAGCCTCAGTGAGTTATGAGCCATAGTGTCCTGTCCCCCAGGTGAGCCATAGGGACGCCTCTTACGGAAAATGTGTCCCACCCTGGAGCAGGGGATGATCAGAAGTCTACCACCACACATCCAGATCTGTCCATACAAAAGCAGAACACACCTCATTGTACATATACTGACAAGGCTCACTACATCCTCCCCTTCTCCAAGGGATACTTAGGTAGGTTTATACATGATGACACGATTTGGTGTCATCAGTATTGTCCTACATGTCATGCTTTCTCACAAGTTGAATTAATAAATCTTCAGGTTAGAAAAGACTATTTTTGTCGGATCATCCCACTTTTCCTATAACATGTCATGGCTTTCACAAAACAAACAGTTTTCTAAATTTTTATGCTCTAATGATCCATTAGAAAACACTGAAATGTAGGGGTTGGGATTCAACGTGCAGATTACGATATCTAAATTTATTTGCCTACATGAGAATTACACGTGCACACTTCCATGATAGATAATGAAGATCAGTCAATATCATCAAGGGAGTCTGGAGAGCTTTACAACTATGTGTAAGCACTTATTTTACACAGCTGTTTATTTCTGTGAAGTATATAGGAATTCAGAAATACTGTTCACATTCAGATACTACATTTAGGTGCCTTAAGCCAGCTCCATTGCACTCCAGATCTAGATTTCATTTACACTCTACTTCCTTTTTTTTTTTTTTTAATTTCTTTTTAAACTTTGGCTTCCAGCAAGTTATCATCATTGGGCCTTTGCTGGGCTAACGTGTTCTTTGATCTCAGAAAAGTCTTTTCAAATCAGTAGTTTATAATCAAGCCACTTTTAAAACTCCTCCTGGAAAAGACACAGACTAAAGTTTTTTGCAACTCTCCCTCAGGGAGAGGGGACTTCCAGACCTTAGAAAGCTCTCCAAGTATACTCCAATTTTTCAAAGCCCCTTTTATTGAAACTGTGTATTACACAGTAACAAGAATAATTTCCTCACACTCCATACACTTCTTCTCAGATACCTAATAATTATATTTTGTACTGAAAACTGGAAAGATTTTATTTATTCTGTACATACTCCTTTAAAGTCACTCAAATGTATGAAATGCCAGTTCTTATTTTTGAGCTCTAATCTTGATTTCTCTAATGACCTAATTTGACAGACTTCTCTAAAGGTTTGGCAGTTCTGCATTTGGTTTTGGGTTTTTTATGTAAACTTCACTTTTTAATCTCCCCTTCATATTTGTCACAAAGGCATCTCATTTTCAGGCAGACTCTTGTCAAACCTGTTGATGAATCCACTTCACAAAAGTGAAGAGGTAAACAAAAAGTTGTTTTTCTTACAGTGGAATGACAGAGAAGATGAGACAAAATATAGGAAGCCTGATGAAGTATCACTTTGGAATCTCCTGATTACGACTTTCTCCTATTCCCAACCAAGCTGAATCCTCTACAAGACTTTTAATTTAGTTATAAAATATTTATATTTCCAGGCCCTCAAAAAGGAGGCTGAAGTGTCTGAAAAGCCCCATACCTATCTGAGGAAATATAATAAGCTTACTTATTATCAATGTTGCTCTGAGCCATACATTTTTTTTAACTGACTGTGAAAATCATTAGACATCGCTTATAAACTCATTTCAGAAATTTGCATGATTATTCTTTTCTTATGCCTCTCTATAGGCATTATGAAATGCTCACCAAATAAAGAGTCACAAACACTTAACCACAGAAGACAAAACTCTGTTTAATCTTCGCATTAAAACTTAACTCAAAGATTATTGTCAAGGTAGTTACTATGCACTGAAGGCATCCTTCCTGGGAATAAAAATGCCAATTTCTCTGTGCAAATAGCTATTCCAGTGTTAAAGAAATTGTACGTAGGGAAGAGAAGCAGCCAGACAGTAAGGTTCATACTCCAATACACAAAATCTAGATTACCCGAAAAGATATTTCCAGATTTTCTCCTCCCCAGATGTCCATGCCACTATCATATTGTCCAAGTTCATTGAAGTACTCGCGATCCATGGCAAACAGGCCTCCAGCCATAGTAGGTGACCTAAAAAGGAATATTGAAAGAAGTTCCTTTTCTTAGAGAAAAACCAGTAATTTTAGATGAATTTCCTAATCTCAAAGCCTAAATTCAGACCTACACAATACAATTTAAATCTTGTAGACACCAGAAATCATCAGATCACACTTCTACTCTCAAAAAATTTTTCAAAAGTAGATCTGTAAGTGGTATTTGTGATCTTTCATTACTCCAATAGCAATAAACCATATTTCTTTGTACAGTAAAATTGAGGAAAAGAGATAGTACAAGGAATGAGGAACAAAGTGTCTGTGTCTCTACTAAAAAAAAACAACCCCCAAAAACCCCAGAAACCACTCATGGAAAAAAAGTAAAAACTTGTGCAAGTTTGGAGTCCATCAACTTTTCTACAATGAAACTCAGAGCTGCCTTTAATTAGATCTGTCTTTACCAGAAGCTATTTCCCCTACAGTTACGAACGAATACATTTGCACACAATGTGTTCTTCCCCCTCTTACAAGGGCAAATTATACAGACCAGGCTTGACTGAACTGCAGAAGAGTAGAATCCAGAGTACGCATTACTTTCCCATATTAAATTAGATCAAGAAATGAGGTCCAAATTTAAATTATAAAAGCCAGGAGGCTGGTAAAAGAAATGCTACTCTGTTTCATAGATAGAACTGCAATACCAGGAGCAGTGTTGTTTCATCACGGATGCAATGACCAGTTTCTTGGTAAGTTATTTACAGTTTGTATATTTGCATACATGTTCTCTTCAGCATTTCCCAGTTTTTTACCTTGTCTATGTGTTACTAGAACAGTGCTCTATTTTGTAAAAATTTGTATATGAGCCCCATAATACAGTCTCTAGATTGAATTGCTACTGTATCAAAGTTATAATATCTGGATGCCTAGAGGAGTATAAAAAAAATAAATATGACATAATAGTTGGAACATACAATGCACAGGGAACAGGCTTTTTCTCATTCTTATTAATAAAAACCTGTGATGAAACCAAGCCTAAGTCTGGATTTCCTTGCTTGTTCTCACACAATTTTCTACTATAGTTTCTGTCACTTTAAAACCTAGGTTGAAAGGTTGCTCTCAATTTTTCCATCCCTAACACCAAAATATTTCATTCTGACCATAAAATGTAAGACTTTCCATTTGATGGAAAGCCATTCTCAAAGGTTAAATAGCAATCTGGCTTCTTTTTCAAAGCAGGCAGAGACCTCTAAGTAGGAACAGTGACTTTCATATTCAGAAAATGTAATCTTTTTAGATTATTAGACCCCCTTTAAGGTTCTCTGCCTTTTTCCATGGGAGTTTTTCCTAAAAGTGAGTTGAAGGAATGCAACAATAGCATTGAACACAGCAAGAACTAACCTTCAGGCATGACCCAGATTAACTGTGAGAACAGCTCTTAACAGAAGCAGCACTTTAAGACTGTTCATGCTGGTTCCCCGTTCAGATTTTCCCAGTCTGTCCTTTCCCTCCTAGCTTCAGGAACTGCCACACTGACACCTTCCAAACAAGCCAGTCAAGCTGTTAAGTAACTTAAGAAGTTTCCTGGCTTCTCAGACCAAATCTTGTGACAGGTAGACGTGGAAAGACTAACTGCAGAGCTGTCAGACCACAGCAGAGAACCTTGTGCTGGAGCTACTTGCGTCAGCCCTAAACGCTCTTCATTTACAGTCCAAGAACAGAGAATGAGAGATGAGACTGCCCAATTTCTGATTCACTTTGCAAATCTTCTAGAAGTACCACATTCTCTGCAAAGAGTTAGTTTGTAAAAAAGGTAAAGTTCTTCAACCTGACAAACCTGAATTCTGTACTAAGGTAGATACCTGCATCAAGAATAAGCACCATCAGCTTCTTGCCATCGCTTTACCAGCACTGGCCTGTCCCATGCAGGGATTCGTACTGGGAAAGCTTCTATTCTCATGGCTGAATCATAGATGCTACTAAAAAAAAAGGTGTCTACCAACATCGTTTCATTAACAGTTACATGTCCAGTAGGAACCAGATATTGCCAGTTCTGTACAGGCAAGACAGTCATCAATGGTCAAAAGATTAGGAAAGGGAACTTTCAAGTCCTAATGTTAAGCTTTACCAAGACTTTTGTTTCAGAACAGCTCTCAAGCAATTCAGACCACAAAACCAATACGGACAGGCTTCCAACAGACAGTTTTAGGCATCTGCCACATTGTGCAAAGAGAGAAGTAATATTTTAAAGATGGTTTTCATATCCATGTGTGTTCACTTAGGAAACTTTATGACAAAATAATTGCTTGTTTGAGGAAAGATGTAAATGAAATCTAAAGCAAAAAGATGATATTGACATAGAAAGTTAGCATACGCTCTGATGTTCTTTCCCCATCAGCTAGGAAACCACCTTCCTATTACCACAAAGACATATTTTCCCAATCTAGCAATTCTTTAGCATTTCATCACAGAAATTATTGAGCCTGTATTAGTGGGATATGCAGGCTATTACTAGCACAAAGGCAGTTATCAAAAATCATCATTAAAAGCCAAACACATCAACAGACTGGAAGCAAACATCAATGCATAGCTCAAAAGTGAAATTATTGGACAGATTTAATACAGAATAGCATAAGCGCCTTAAGACTTTTAGCAAAAGCTGCTGTTGTACAAGCATTCTCTAGAGGCGTGCTTTCTTGACCTAATAAGACAGATATATCTAATTTGTGATTAAATGCGAGAAATTAAACTGAAATAGGTAATAGTAGCCAAAACTACTTGTAAGTAAAATAAACAAGTCAGAAATTTGACGGGTTAGGCATCTGCTTCTAAAACTGCACATCCAGATACACTCCAAAACGCGTAAGAAGTGCTTCTGATCATCCATATGTTACACAGAGCTTCACAACACGTAGGAGGAACCTTACTTGATTGGAGCAGTGGCTCCCTCGGGTCCTTCCAGTTCTGACAAAGGAACAAGATCCCACTTAAAGTGCAGGCCCCAGTTAAACCCTCCACGCACAACCGGGGAAGAGCTGTAGGTAAGCGTGTCAGCACTGATTATGTCAATCACAGGGCACACCACAGTCCTGCGATCTTCTCTGATAGGAGTCAGCAGAGGTTGTAACCACATCTCGTTCACCTCACAGTGACTGTCCAGGAATACCAGCACTTGGAATACCAGCACTTTCCCGACAGAGGTCAAACAACACAAAACAAAGATCCATGGTAACATGAAACAAACAGATATGCAATTTTATCAACAGCAGAGTATCGGCAGTATCCTCACCACCCTGTGTCACAGAGGGGAAACACCACCTGCCCCCGGAAACACTGACAAACCAGAGACTCACAGGGACTAGTTCAGTTACAAAGGCAGAAGGCAGACCCTGGCTATTCACATTTAACCATGATTTGCTCAAGTGGGCCGTTATTTGCACTTCTTTGACAGGCTTTTAAAGTCATCACATGTTCTACCCAGATTCAGCAAAGCTACTATACTTTAAAGAAGCATCATCAGACTGGCACTCAGAGCCAGGCGGTGATTTGTCCTAATGCAGAGCACCTCCCATGCCTGAGTTACACTACAGAGATAGCTGAAGATGACAGATACTGGGCTGGACGAATTATCCCCATGACAAAGCTGGTTTTGTCCACTAATTGTAATCACCTTGGGCTCGTTTCATACCACACTCACCATCCATCCAGTTACTGTTGCAGCTAAGATCTGTGGATTTTAAATCAAGCCGTTGTGATTAATTCATCTGCATTCATTCATGATGCAGGCCAAAGCAGTTCAATTCCTGAATATAAAGTAACATAGAGCATCTCCCCACTTTGCTGGCTCGAGTGATGGTGGATTCGTACCACTTTAAAAAGAGAGTGAATGCCCTAAATGGGCACAGCCAAATCCACCAGTATAGACCAAGCAACACTTCGGTCCCAATAATTTACATGGGAATTATCCACATGGTCAGAGAGGACAGTTTGATCCATGAGACACCTTCAGGCCCAGCTGGTCTAAAAAGCCCCCTGAATTTTTGTGACACAACATAAAATTTATGTAATGTTATAACAACATAGAAAAGATGGGAAAGATCTTTAAAGAAAACAACTTAGAAACAAACAAATATAACAACTCACCCATTAATAACAGACAGTATTTGACTGAGGAGAAAAAAACCCAGACTCCAGCAGTTCAGAAAAGCAATAAAATTACTTAAAATTGCACTAACTCAAATGAATCCTAGCACAGCTTGCAAAGTGCAAGCACAATTTTCTCTCTGAATTTTGCCATTACAATGCTAATGAGTAAACACCAATTAAGAGACTTTATCTGCTACTCAAAATTATTTGAGAAAGTAGCACATACTTTCTTAGATGCCAAAGAATTTAACTGGGAAGCATGTTATGGTAAAAGATGCACAGTGTACATAAAGCACCAAATACAGTTTATCCCAATCAACACTCATTGCAACAACAGAAAAGCTTGTGTGAGAAACATTACAATTAGACGAGCAAATTAGAAGTCAAATTAGAGTGCACCTTAATAAGGAAGCAGATTGCCATTTTAGAGCAACAGTTTTCACGTGAAACATGCAGAAAATATTCTGTGACCACAAGATCTAGCACGGATGGAAATATTCCTGAGACAACATTCTTTCAGGACATGAATAGGGAAAATTCTACGTTGCCTCTCTAAATTTTGTCAAATACTAGTTTTGTTTTACTATTTCACTGACCTACTCTAAAAAGTTAACTCATTTTATTAAAAGCAAACTTCCACAGGAAGAAAAAATAAATACAAATCAGCAGTTCAGACAAGGTTTAAAAGACACTCAAATTTGGCTCCAAATTTGTGAAGTCATTGTTTGGGTGACTTGAAAAAACATCTCCCCTCTCTTACACAGCAATTTCCTTTGAGTTAATTACAAACTATTACAGTGAATTTATTATATCTATTCTATATTTACATATAGGCAAGGACCAAGTTCTCCTTGCTTCCTTCTCACTGAGTAACAGAAAATCCTCAGGTGAGGACCAATTCAGTAAAGTTGTGAGGAAATACTGAAAAAAAGATTTATAAAGATCATGGTCAACTGCATGATGTAAACATTTAAATGCACAGGTAATATTAGGAAAGGTTTCCCATTATCATTATACAGGTATCACTGAAGACACTTTGTGCAGCTGTTGCAACCTATATTAATCTAACAGCCAAAGATCAATGCAATTGACTCATTTCAAAATCACTGATATTCTGAAGCAATTACTAAAATGTCTCTCACCTAAGATAGCATTGTCCCAAATCTTTCTTCCCTTATGCTAAGTTGTGTAGTTTAGAACATGGCATGACATGCAGAGTCCCTACAGTGGGCTACAGCAATCACAGGTCAAACATAAAAAGCTGCACTACAGAAAAAGGAGTCATATGGTCGAAGTACGAAGGAAAAGAGAAACAAGAAAGTATACCTGTGGCATGAGAGGCTCCAATCATCCTTCCTCGAATCAAGCCTTCCCGTTTCTCATTTCTTACCAATTTTGTGGTTTTTGGAAGCTGCGTTTTAACGTATTCACCCAAGTCTTTCTTCAAGTCAGCTGAAAAAAGGAAACCACAGATTCAACAACAGGATGGAAATTTTAAAGTCCTAAGATGTTCAACTCAAAAAGGGCCAAAAACTTGACCCAAAAACTACTCCAATACAGTACAGCTTCAAACCAAGAGTACCAAAACAACAGTCAGCCATCCCACATCCTACACCTGCCCTCCAATACCCATGGCCTTTTTTTTTTTTTTTTGTTGCTTTATTCTCACATTTTCCTATTAGCTGCTTCACTTTGTCCTGGGGCATTGTGGAAACCCACACAGACAAAGCAGTTACACACCCTGCATTGAAAACCGTGATGAACCATATGACTGGGCCTTCCATGGGGCGCATTCCTG